CTGGTCAATCTTTTTTTTAATTATCATATTTATCCTCTTGTATCTTCCATTTTCATTTAGAACCTTAGCCTTTTACAAATAGGAATATTTCTTTCTGCTGTGTCAAGATGACCCAATAACAACCCAGCAGCTGGAACCTAGACACATGCTGTCTTTGAGTTCATTTATACTAAAGGTCATGCAATGCATACTTGGTATGATATTGTTCATCCACAGATGCTTGATAGAATCCATAAAATCCTTGGGTTGGAAAATGTGACACCTGCCTCTCGATAAGAAGAGAATCAAAGGCAACACTTAGTAGAATCTCATTAGCCAGAGCTGGATCTTTTTGTCAAATTGGGGATCACACCAATGGAAGGAGATTCCAGGTGGAATGCTGAATTGAAAAGAGATAGATAGGCACCTGAAGCCTTCTCACCAATATCTCAACAAGCTGTCCTCATCCAGCAAGTCAACCTATGGAGTGTTGCCAGCACCCCCACTCCAAGTTCTTATTCCCACGGTGAGAACAAAACAACAGATACATTCTTCCTACTTTCCAGAAATAGCCAGTTAAACACTAAAATCTGGTTGCATTCATTGATTCCTTTAGGAATCCTAGTCTACCCTACAAGGAACTTCAGGAACATGTTCAGCATGCATGCTTGAAAAGACTTTTATTAATGCACTGCTTACTGAATTTATGTACATCTATTTATATCCAATTACTGCCATGTAAATACTATCCATTTTAATGGCTTTGCACAGGAATAAAGACAAAATGTGGCTCTGATCTCTTCCTCTCCTGCAACCAAGTCCCTACCTGTTCATAACGAGCACTTTGGTCATTTCATTTAGTATAATTAAGAGTTTCCATCTTTCCTAATCAATACCCTGTCATTATCATCACTAAGGGTTGTTGAATGGGTTGGAAAGTGATCAGGAATGATAAAGTTATGTGAATGTTAGAAGGCAACTTGCCAAAGCAGTTCCTGTCCAAAGATACGTCTGACAACCCCTTGAGATGTGTTGTTTGACTCCATTCTTCACTGAAGTCACTTGTTATTAACCAAACGAATCATTCAGTGGATGGCGCTGCCATGTTTCAGCCATGGCATGAGTAGATGAAAAGGTGAAGGTAAGGGCAATAATCCATTATTATGACTTGGAAGGCATATTTCATTTTTACTTCAAATATAGCTCAGTATTGCCCTGAGGATAAGCAAAAAGCTCCACACAAATTGTCGATTTGCCACTGTGCCTCCTGTAAATACAGCCAGTTTCTGAGGCCTTGGGCAAGATGCAGAATTCCAGAATGCCTTCAGAAGAAGGGAACATAAATCACTTCTAAGTGCTCTCTACTTGAAAAGCCCTGAAAATGGTTGCCGTAAGTCAGTGATTATACATATATGTCTGATCTTCCCATTTTTTCAGCAATTTGGGGCAATGTCTGGGCTTGGTGTGGCTTGTGGCAGATGCCAAGGACAAACAAAACCTGTTTCCAGGGCCTGCCAAAATTGCCTGCTAGAGCTGACCCATTAAATCACAGGGGATTTAGTGAGTCATCTTGTCTGTAAGTACCATTGATTCAGATGATCTGGTTCTAAATGTGACTTTAGCATAGTAGGTCACAGTTAGAGTAGACCCATTTGAATCAACTGAACTTTTGGAGAAGTTAATTCACCAAATTCCTGCTGATTTAATAGTCTAACCCTTGTTGTATCAATAGCTTCCATAAAGAGTATATCTGCTCAAAGGGACATATTATTGATAATTTGAATTATTTTATTATTCCCTTTTTGCATCCAGAAAGCAGGACACACCAGATCTGAACTCCACTGATCATCCTTTGTTACCACTCACACCCACTGACAGGTCAACACAGTGGCATCATACCACCTTCTGCTCCTTCTCAGCCACTGCACTAATACTATTTATTCATATGATTTATTCACAGTCCATATTACAGTGGTGCCTCGCTTAACGACGATAATCCGTTCCAGGAAAATCGCCGTTAAGCGGAAACATCGTAATGTGAAAAAAACCATTGAAACGCATTAAAACCCCTTCAATGCGTTCCAATGGGGTCAAAACTCACTGTCCAGCGAAGATCCTCCATAGGGCAGCCACTTTCGCTATCTGTCTTGCGAGGAATCTGTCCCAGAAAACATCAGGGAGCATTTTGTTTACCTGGTGGCCATTTTGAAACTGCCAATCAGCTGTTTAAAAAACGTCGTTTTGCAAAGAATCGGTTCCTGAAGCAGGGAACCAATCATCGCAAAGTGACAAAACCCCATTTAGACCATTGATCGCAAAAAGATCATTGTAATGTGGGGCAATCGTAAAGCGAGACATAACTGTATTCCAGTTGCTTTCCTTTCTAACATATACAACACATATACATCCTTTGAGAATTTGGGTGACCAAATCTGGATAATATAGTACAAAATGTAGCCTCACCAAGGCCTTATGCAAAGTTATCAAAATTGCTCTATACTTTGAGAAACACCTTGTCCTAATATTTCAAAACATTATATTTGCTCTTGTTGCAGCTGGACATTAGTAGCTTATTCTCATCTTGTGATCAAGCAATACTCTAGTTTCTCTTCCATGGCTCACTTTCAGTAAATAACTCTGCAACACATAACAAACTTCTTTTATTGGTTGCTTCCAAATACACCATCTGACATTTTTCAATGCTGGATCTCATCCCAGTTTATAGAACTTCAGGTTTTTTTCTAAGTACTTCCAGGAATTAAGGTACCTTCTAAATTGGAATCATATTCATATCCAAGTACCAATAAAACAGTACAACTTTCTTCGTCTTGAAAATACTTATTAAAGCAGGCCCTAATACACATCCCCCAGAAGATGTACTATGGTCTGTTTCTTTCAAAGATAAAACATGTTTGTTTTTCTTAAAGCAATAAAGAATCTGCTTAGCTAATGACATTCCAATGTTAATTTCTCCTGCTGCACTGCTCTGTGTGGCACATTAGAGTTCCAGCTGACTGTTAAGCATCAGGTCTATGGATGTGTTTGGGTACATGTTTGCACTTGATCACATTCCTGTTTTCCCTTTTATTACTCCTTTTTCAGATTTTTGAATTAAGTTTTTTGACTGTAATCTTTTCTCTCTGTGTCAAGGTGGATAATAATAAATATACCGTAGATCAAATTTTCATATGGCAGCATTTGTAGGCAAAGTAATTCAACTAGTGGGATGTGGAATAGCTCAATGGGATTTATGTTATTATGCAGGTATGCCTCACAACAAAGCTTTGTTTAACTGTAATGGTGGGGAGCCTTTTTCATTCTGTGGGTGAAATTCAAATCCAGGGATGTTCTTGGAGGCCACAGTTCTGAGGTGGATGGGGCCAAAAGCAAAAGGGTGGAATAATATCCCAGCACATTTTAGTTTACTGCCTGTAACTAAGTCTTAGCACTGCCATTTCAGCCATTAGAGTGGGGTCGGTTGGGGATGCCTTTCAAAAGTTGGGAAAACATTAAATCAAGGTGTCATGGGAAAAAGCACATGGCCATCAGAAAGCATAGAAGGGCTGCCTTGGGACTACAGCAGAGCTGGATTCGACCCCTAGTTTCCGAACCAGGTTTTAAAGCAAAGTATGCTTTGGTTTGAGGCCCCCATGTGCAGGGCAGTGGTTCCATGTATGTACATAACTTCACATAGGACCCCAGTACACATAAATCTATTTCTGTACTACTACATAGTGCAGAATCTAGATGCATGCTGAGGATAAATGATCTGGACAGAAGGAGGAGAAAAAGAGATTCTGTTGTCTCCATCCAAACAATGCTTTCATCATGTAGAAGCACACTGCTGAGGCTTTCTGAATACACTTGCAAAAGGCAATTAGTTCTGACCACTGGAGTGATAATTATCTATTCACCTCTGATGTCAGTTATTGCCTCTGGCACCATCCAACACTATTCTTGTGCTATAGTTCCTGGTGCACAGCCTCCTGGATTAAGGCAGGTGTTTTAAATTTTACCTTTTTCTTCGGAAATGCATATTATTAGGGTAAGCCCTCTTCATATATTATCAGCTCAAAAGCACAGCTCTAAACACAGGGGAGATGAAGATGTGCATGTGAGTTCTGTTCTAAGGTCCCCAGCACCTAAGTGTCAGAATTTGTACACTCAGCTTGAGGGGTCCAAAGAGGGGCTTGTGTGTACATTTGGTTGAACACATGTATAATCTGGATCAGGGCTCCCAGTCATGGAAGCACTGTGATCAAGTCTCTGTTCAAATTTTCACACTGAACACATTGATATGGGGTTGGGACATTGGGTGTGAGTGGGCCGCATGTGCACTTCTGCCATTATCAGAATCAGAGTTTTACCTACTTTCAGGTAGACGCCTGAATAAGGCCTTGGAGGCAATGTTTGGATAACTACTGTTTTCCAGTGGTATAAATTGAGACCCAATGAGCATTTACTCTGAGCAAGGAATACCCATGAAAATGTTGTAATGGGACCAAGTTATTCTTTCATTAGAAAACAACTAAATACTTTTTTTACAGAGAGCCTGGCAGTCTGATCTTATGAATGCTTTGGACTGATACCAAACAAGCAGTAGATTGCATTTCATTCTGTAATGTGAAAAGCTGAATTGGGTCAATGGGCATCCAGTTTCCCATTCCACCCCAACTGCTGCAGTGCTAGTGGTTTCAGACTGTATGCTTTAAAAAAAAGGCCCTCAAAGGAGGGCAGGCAATAAGACTTAAGGATGATGCACTGGGTGAGCAGCACAGTCAATGACAGCAGCTATGTTGATACAGTACTATGAAAAGTATCAAGTCACAATGCCGGCACAAAGATGTGCATTCTTTCATTGTCAGCATATGTACACTTTCATGGGGGATCTGATGAACTGATATGTTAGCACAGCAACTTTTAGTACTAAGCTACCAGAGTAGCATCTTCTAGCTTTTCTCCGTTCATTGCCTAAAAAATAAGGAATTCCCCATAGACTAAGACAGTCTGATTGTTAAATATTAAAAATAGCCCATCATTAAAATAAGGCATTCCCCATAGACTAAGACAGTCTGATTGTCACAGAATATGCATTTCACACTGCCCACATCTTGCAAAGTACCTTGTTTTCTGATTGGCCATCAAAAAAAAGAAGCCCAGGTTTTATTTGCAAACATTGTTCAGTCATGAGGGTCTCTCTCAAGCCTCTGGCCCACTAATAGATTTAGCTTCCATTGATGTATAGTCAGTCTATAACATGTTGTTTGGTTCTCAGACCTGATCTGAACAGCAAAAGACTTTTAAAGGCAGCTAGCTGTACGATGTAATAACTTTGAAGTTTGCTTTGGTGGAGACTTTAGGGGAAGAACAGAAGGGTGTTGTGCACAAAATGCAACAGATAGCTGACTGCCAGCAACAATACTACAGATCATTCCTCCAAAGATTTGTTCTGTCTCTGGGATGACTTTTGATCCTTGCTTATTCTGAGCTTGCTGATGCATTCCCAATGTTGATGTTTACCTATCTGTACTTGTCTCTGCCAGCCTATTGTTCATAATCCCTAAAGCACCTACACCACCAGCAAATCCATTTTGTTTAGTAGCAGTGCTCATTTGTCTTGGAAAGCCATTGGCACTGTCAGACAACTGTTTCTGCATAATAGCTAGTGACACTTTGTTAGAAGCCAAAAGGTCTTTCATGGATATCATCTCGCCAGACATTCTGCGTCCATCTGTGTCACTCTCTAGGACACCGTCGGACTCAATGGAGATGTTGTGCTTGGTCCGTGCGGTCCCTGGCACCACAACATTCCTCCGTGACCGGAAAAGTTTTCTTTGGCATCTATGGCATGACCATTCCAGTTTCTTTAATATCCAGTTAATGGACTGTTTGATAACAATAGAAATCACATTAAACAAAGAATAGATGCAGCATACCCCCATGAGTATGAAGATGAAATTGCCAAACCGATAAAGACTCTGGCTTTCATACTGGGCGTTCTGGCTACTCACCAGGTCACCAAAACCAATAGTACTGAAAGCCACAAAGCAAAAATAAAGAGACTCAAAGTAGCTCCACCCTTCCATTGGAGTGTACATAGCAGAGGCACAACAGGAGATGATGAGCGATGCTAGACACAGGATCAGCATGACATAATACACAGATGGCTTCCATCCTGCTAAGCTGTCTACTTCAGCATTCCCAGCAGTTTGCTGGATGTCTTGGGGAAGAATCCCATTTCGTCTCAGTTGTCTCTCGTGGCAGGACTTCATGACGTAAGCGATGATCGTGATCAAGCGCTCCAGGAACAAGTTGAAGAACAAGATAGTCCCTGCACAGCCTATAAGGCCATAAAATATCAGAAAAAGTTTGCCTGTGATGGTAGCTGGTGTAGTCATGCCAAACCCTGGAAGACAAAAGTGGAAAAATGTCAGATAAGCAAGACTTCTTTGCAACAAGAATTTTTCAGGAGTTAGGACATGGGCCAGGTGGAAAGATTTCAATCAGAAAGGAAGCTGAAAAATGCCTCCAGAGTTTTCATAATTTTTGTGGTTTCGAACTCAATGCCATAATGAAATAAAACGTATTTTATTTAGAGACACATTTTTGGGTGTTAGTTTTGCCTGATCTTTATTACTGTACCTGTATGATCCATATGTTTTATTAGGGTTGACTGGGGCTACTAAGCATTGCTTCACTGAATTTTGGAGTAGAATAGATTCACAACTTATTTTATTATTTACGGTTATTGTAATACATGACATATTTATTGTGAGCCACTCTGAAACCCTGCTACATGTACAGTAAATGAAAGTGACAATAAATAAATTAAGTACGACCAGACATCTTTAGAACAAAGTGATCCATGCGTGCCCGTTGTTTTCTGTGATCATATTTCATTGATTTACTTATTTCATCCATATGCTGCCAAGAGCTTCCTGGTGGTCTACATGGTCCTGTTTTATCATCACAACACCCCTGTGAGAGAATGATTGATATTGTGAGCTTCATGGCCAAGTGGGAATTGGCACCTTAGGTGCCTAGAGTTGCCAGGTCAGCAGCATCCCTTGTTCTGAAATTTCAGAGCCAAAATCTGAGACCAGGGAGGTAGAACTTTGCAACATCACAAAAACAGAGCAAGCATTGGTTGGGTGAAGGCAAAACTGCTTCTGAGCCAACTGATTGTGAAAATAAGCACAAAAGGGGTTGAGAGAAGTGGGCCCAGAATCCAGGTTACATCTGGCTAAGCTGGTAATAGTCCCAACAACCAAGAGCCCATCACTATTTAGGAAGGAGCTGTGATAGAAGTATCTGATGTATCTCATTAAGTGACTTTACAAAAGGTTAGGCTAGGTAAAACACACTAGTCTTTATCTGAGTCATGGCCACTGGCTTTCTTTCTTGTTAGGTTGAAATGTTTTGCTATTCATCTAAGTAGCTTCTTCAGTCTGAAGAGAGTTTGTAGGAGATCCCTGATATATCCTCCATGTTGGTTTCATTTCCCCCTAGTCTGATTAGACTTGTTAGAACAGCGGTCCCGAACCGTTTTGGGACCGCAGAACAGCTGAGCGTCTGAGGAAGGTGGGGCACACCCCACGCTTGCGCAGCTGTGTGTGCACGTGCTTGCTTGCTCTCGGGCATAAGAGCACCTGCACGCCCACCCACCCCTTCGCACGGGGGCTCTGGCACGTGTGAAAGAGTAGGGGAGCGCTCACGCCGGCGCCGGCATGCATGCGCAAAGCAGCTGTGGGGAAGGGAGTGCATATGGGGGGTGGGGGTGGGAGGTCTGTCTCCATGGCCTGGTCCAGCTCAGGCCACGGACTGGCACTGGGCCGCAGACCGGGGGTTGATGACCTCTGTGTTAGGACAACGGACTGGGGATGAGGGATAATCCCACTTCTGCAGTCCTTCCCAACCCATGGCTTGATCCAGCAGGACTCTTCTTATGTCCTTAAGAACCTGGTTATTCCTTACAGGGCATTAACAGTGGTCTTTCTGGTATGTGTGGTCCTAATCTTTCTGAGGACAGATGAAAGGGCAGCATAATAAATAGGAGACAGCTTGTATCTAAGGCCTCCATCCCTGCTGAGTGAAGGAATATTCTAAATGCACATGTATGGCCTCCTTGACCCCCTCTCAAACCACCTCTCTTCTTGGTTCAAAATAAGTATATCTTGGTCATCAAAAGTATGCCCTTTGTCCTTCAAATGAAGTAACACTGCCATTGCCCCTCTTGTGTTGTGCCATTCTCCTGTTTAGTGGCTGTTTGCAAAGTAACACTGTCATTGCCCCTCTTGTGGCATTCTCCTGTTTAGTGGCTGTTTGAGTTCTCCAATGTAAAGCTCTGAACACTCCTCTTTGCATTCGACCACATATACAGTACTGTATTGCTCCTGTTGTGTTTTGGTGTCCAGTCCTTTGTGTGGATGAATCTCTGCTTTAGTGTGTTTGTGGGTTTGAAGTGCACAGGTACCGTATATGGTGTTTACAAAAAATCCTTTTGAGCTTTTCCAACACATCTGCCCTGTACGGAATAACCAGGTTCTTAAGAACATAAGGACATAAGAAGAGTCCTGCTGGATCAAGCCAAGGGCCCATCTAGTCCAGCTTCTTATATCTCACAGTGGCCCCACCTGATGCCTCTGGGAGCACACAAGACAACTAGATACCTGTCTCCTGATACCACTCCCCTGCATCTGGCATTTTGAAGTACCTTCCTTTTAAGTCTGGAGATTATACATACTCATCATGGTTTGTAACCTGCGATGGACTTTTAAAGGCATCTAGGTCAGATGCCATCACCACATCCTGTGGCAAGGAGTTCCACAGACCAACAACACGCTGGGTAAAGAAATATTGTCATCCTGGATTGGGACATTTCCTTGTTAAAGGCCCATTTTGGAAATCCATAGACCTTAAGAAGCTACTTGGTTGAGTAGCGAAATGTTTCACTCTAATAAGAAAGAAGTCCAGTTGCCATGAGTCAGCTTCCAGATAAACTCACCTGGATGACTGAGAATCTTCACAGATATACACTCGGTCTTTAATTTGCTACAAGACTCATTGGTGCTTTGCTGTGCAGACTAACAAACACTGCAGTGTTGTTTTGAGGTGAATGACAAAGTGTTGCTGTTTTTTCTTACACTTTTTGATCTGAAGAGCTTGGAGATGGTAAGATTTTTAAATCTTCTTAACTCTTCGTCAAAGAGTAGTTCTTTGTTTCATTCACTGCCCCCACACAATTTCCCTTGCTGACAATATATGAAGCTGGCAATGAGTTAGGTAATCTTTGTGAAAGGCACAAGCCCAATGAACACGGTGTCTTGTCATTAACTTTTAGAATACCAAGGAAGATTGTTTTGAGCCCTTGACTGTCGTTTTTCTCCCAAGACTTTTTGTCTCACATTATAATAGTGTTCATGGGGCCTGTTTAATACACTAATTGAAATACATGAATCCTCCGTTGTCAGCTCAATGGTTTCTCTTGATCAATGCTGAAATTACGTACGAATACCCAATAAAAAGGATCAGGTAATATCACATGTTATTTCCTTAAGCTCTGTTCTACTCTTGAAGTCTGCCTCTTCATTATTTTAATGGGTGGCAGTGTGTGTCTCAATGTCAGACCAATATCAGCCCAAAGTAGTCTTTCTGTCTTCTTCCAATGCACTGATTAGATCTCATCTTCTTAGAAGCATTATATATAAATTAGTGCTGTGTACACTTTTCTAACACCTTTCTTGAGTGTTCTCATTCAGTTTTAAAGAAAAGGAATTCATTTTGAAAATCCATTCTCATGGGAGACACTCAGGATGCTACTGCTTACCTTACATAACAGCTAGCCAAAGGGTATGTGCAAATTGTCTTCTATGATATAATCACCTCTCAGAAGCCAGCAGTCCCTTCCACTGTTTCCCCAATTTTAATCAAAGCCCAGGGGCCGGGAAGGTAAGAATGTAGCCAGGTTAGTTTAGCAAAAATGACAAAGCAACTCCTCCCACAGGACTTCTACAGACCAGGAAGTGTGGGCAAGCAGATAAGCTGCAGAGGGATAAAGAGATGTGTATGTAATATAATTTTTTAAAGGAATGCAACACTCTTGGCCAATTTTCAATGCTACATTTAAAAATGTCACCCAAAGAAACTCTAAAGCAGTGGTTCTCATCCTTGGGCCCCCTGATGTTCTTTGACTAAAACTCCCAGGAGCCTGCACCACTAGCTGTGCTGACCAGGATTTCTGGGATTTGTAGTCCAAGAACATCTGGGAACCCAAGGTTGGGAGGCATTGCTCTAAAGCAGTGGTCCCCAACCTTGGGCCTCCAGATGTTCTTGGACTTCAACTCCCAGAAATCCTGGCCAGCAGAGGTGGTGGTGAAAGCTTCT